AAGACATGTATTCCCCAGTGGCAAGTTCTTGTAGCCCTTTGCACTGTTTCCCCCTTGGGAGATAAAATTTGGTTTAATGCTGCTTTCACATATGAAAATAGGTAGCTTATCGCTCCGTTCCATGAAGTGATGAGAGGTTTTGAAGCCTTTCTGGTTTTTTGAAAACTCATTTGTCCTCCCCCCCACNCCCCCGGCCCTATGCGAGAGAAAGCAAGCTTTAAAAGGGCAGCAAAATAAAACGTTGCAGTGGGTGGCTCAGAACAGGTTTTTGGCTCGGCCTCTCAGGAAACATGCTGAAAACGAATTCAGCATCCTCATTCTTGATTTGCACACTCCTGTCCCTTCTCGCTGGCTTTCTGCCCTCCTCCCATTCCTCCTGGCCTTTCATCTTGTTGAGAGGTTCAAGCGATGAAAGCTGACAGAGGGCCACGTGAAACTAGGGTTGCTTTGGGGTCACCCCAAACCCGTCTGTGGGTGGAGGTGCCCTGGATAACTGCGAATGAGCGCTTGCCCCCTTAGGGAACATGGGGCTTGTGACAAAATGGACGGTCCTCCCTAGGAACGAGTCTGTTTCTAGCAAACAGCAGGCACAAAGAGAGGAGAAGCTGGGAAAAAATGCCCATGGCGTGCTTTTCCAAGGGTATGGATGGGCAACAAGTGCGGCCGTGGCACGTTGCATGCCACCCCAAGGCTGTTTTCGTGGTCTTCAGGCTTCCTCACCCCCCCTCTTCAGGGATAGAGGGCTGCCATTGAAATAGGCCACAGATAACATTAAACCCCCCTCCCCATAGCCAGAGATGAAAAAAGTGCCCATCTATAGGGGATCAATAAAGCAGGGATGAACAGGGGGCAAAATGACAGGGGGGGGGAGAGCTTCCATGATGAGGGAGTAGGAGTACTACCTGTGTTGGGTGGGGTGACGCTCCCCCTGAAAACTCAGGTCTGCAGCTTGGGTGTCCTCCCGGATTCATCCCTAAGTTTGGATGCCCAGGTCTCGGCGGTGGCCAGGAATGCATTTGCACAGCTAAAGCGAGTGCGCCAGCTGCGCCCGTTCCTTGAGACGTCAGATCTGGCTACAGTGGCACATGACTTAGTTGCATCCCCTTTGGATGACCGCAACGCGCTCTATGAGGGGCTGCCTTTGAAGAAGTTTCGGAAACTTCGGCTGGTGCAAAACTCTGCAGCCAGACGATGGACTGGGGCCAGCGACAGGGAGCCTATAATGCACCTGTCACAAGAACTGCACTGGTTACCAGTCCATTTCTGGGCACAATTCAAAGTGCTGTCCATTCCTTATAAAACCCTCTACAGCTCCGACTCCGGACGACCTGAAGGATCTTATCTCCCTATATGTGCCTTCTGGGCAATGAAGATCAGCAGAGGTGGGGTCCTCCTCTCGGTCCCATTGCCAGCTCAAGTACAGCTGATGGGGACACGAGACAGAGCCTCCTCAGTGGCAGCTCCCAGGTGATGGAACGCTCTCCCTCCAGAGACCAGGGTGGCCCCTTCCCTGTTATCCTTCCAAAAAAGGGTATCTCTGGAGGTAGTGGCAGGCCCCTGGGAGGGAAGCTGGGCCTGCTGCCTCTGTGTCTGGTGGCCTGCTGATAGCGTGGAGGCAACGGGCCCGGCTTCCCTGCCCAGAGCCTGCCGCTACCTACAAGAGTGGCACTGGTTGGCCACTGAGCCCGGAGGGGAGGCAGAGGCAGCAGGACCAGGTAGCCCCCCCCAAGCACAAACCCAAAAGACGAACCGCAAACGGGTTTGTTTTGGCAGAGTTTGTGATGGTTCGTGGTTTGTGGTTAGCCACGAACCATCACGAACCCCCGGTTTTCCCATTTATGCCCATCTCTAATCCTCACAGATTTTGCAAGCAGATCCGCCTCTCCATGTTGCCCACTGCCTACTAGTTAGAATGCCTCCCTACTAACTATCTCCAGGAAACACTGGTTAGCGATTCAGGGAGTTGCAGTCCGAAAAGAAGAGGGACGTTTGCAAGCTCTGCTTCAGTCTTGGGGCAGTGTATCTTTGTAAACTAGTTGGGTGAAACGTTAGCCAGGCAGCCTTATTAGACTTCTGCCCTGCTTATGGGTTTCCCAGAGGCATCCAGTGGGCCACTATGGGAACAGGATGCTGGGCCAGTTTAGACTTTTGGTTGGATGCCACGTGTCTGTCCTTCCCATCCCACCAAGCAGGCCGGTCCTGGCTACACCGGCTGGAGGCCGTTCTACACGGCTATCTGGATTCAGGCCAGGCTGTCTCTCACATCTCCTGTTACTTGAGACTCAATTAATTGGAGATGCCCAAGTTCAAGTCCGGAAAATCTGGCCTGGAGTACATACAGTGTGCCACTAATTGGTGTTGGGACCTCCCCATAAGGTGGGCCTGCTTTCTACTGCCTCCAGTGCCAGCGCCAGCAGCAGGCTCCGATCCTTGGCATCTCTGCTCCCCAAGGTCCCTTAAACTGGACATTCTGGCAACGGAGTCTCAGACAAGAAGCAGGAGACCCGGCTGGCCTGCCCCTTGCAAGCAGCCCCCGAGGCCATGTTTGCAGCCATGTCTGTGAAAGAGAGAAGGTTTCCGGGTCCTGGGGAATAAGGCCTTTTCAGTGGCAGCCCCATACTTGTGGAATTGGTCTGTCCCACAAAACAGGAATTGGCATTGTAGAGGAAAGAGAAGTAAGAAGTCTGCTTCTTCTTTGTTGTGGTTTAGTCGTTCAGTTGTGTCTGACTCTTCGTGACCCCATGGACCAGAGAACGCCAGGCCCTCCTGTCTGCCTCCCGGAGTTGGGTCAAATTAATTTTGGTCACTTCAGTGACACTGTCCAACCATCTCGTCCCCTTCTCCTCTTGCCTTCTCCCCTTCTTCTTAATTGCTCCTTATTACTCACAGTAGATATCTTAAGCGCTATTGCTCAGTTTTACCAAGAAGAGCAGTCTTAACTGAACAATTTTTTTTTAAAAAATGTTTTATTATGTATTTTGTGTGTGTGTGTGTCAAATCTTGTACAACACCAGTGTCCCGAATATCTGATCCTGTGATAAACAGAGGTGGGGTATTCGTATTTGTATTCCCAGTGATATGAATATCGGCAGCATAGGCGCCGTGGGAAACTGGACCCTCCCCCAGAACCGGTCAATCCGCTTGCTGCACGGTGTGCATAGCTGTTGTCGTTCACGGCATGCCAATTGCAGAAGTAGCGCAGCTGGCACTTCTCTGCCTCCCCACACAGCCAACCACTCAACAGCTGAGTGGGAAGACAGGACATCCCACCTCCTTGCTGAAGTGGCTGGCTGTGTGGGGAGGTGGGGAAGTGCCAGCTGGGCTACTTCTGCAGTTGGCATGCCATGAATGACAACAGCTATGCGCACTGCGCAGTGAGTGGCAAGCAGACTGGCCAGTGATGGGGGGGGGAGGGTCCTGTTTCCCCAGGTACAGTACCTGTGATGCCGAGATTTGTATATGGTTCCCTGGGGATACGAATACAAGCATCTTATCTCTTGTGAGGAATAAAACAAAGGAAGGAAATGTATGTAAAACACACCTAGAGCTGAGGTGAGCAGGGCAACCTGCATATGAGTAGACTTCGATCTAAATGGGCGGTGTGTGTGTGTGTGTGTGTGTGTGTGTGTGTGTGTTGTGTGTGTGTGTGTACATATGGCCTTCAGGGACCCAACTATGGACCTAAGCCTCCTCAGGTCCCTTTAGCGCCACACGGCCAATTTTTTTTTAAAAAAAGATTAAAAAACGATCTTGGGTCTATTCCAGTTCTTCTAAAAAAAACTGTTATTGTAATAAATGTTTTTAAGTGGGTATTGTGGAAGGAGGCAAAGCACACCGAGATTCAAGAACGGGCCTTTTTATGGCTGCTGGAATCTTTGGAGTGGCCCAAGCTCCCTGAGGTGAAAAAATAATGACAATGGCTGTGATTTCTTTCAGGCTGCCTCTGTCACGCTGAGAAGTCTTCCGTTATGCCCCAGTTTACGCATGGCTTTTATGAAATCCAGATGAAACCTGTGGCAAATGTTGTTGTATGATGCGCCTCTGGGTTCTGTCCTATTGCTTCAGTCCATTCCCTCTTGCCAACCCGTTTCCGGCCCTCCCCCCGGTTGCCATGATTCCGTGGCATACGAAGCCCCCCCGAGTCGTTTTGGGGTCTCTCTCCCCCTGTCTTAACCAGCACGGTTGTGTGTGTGTGTGTGTAACTGATGTGACTGCTCCTTAAACGACTCCTTTACCTTGAAAGCACCATGAGGCTCTCTCTACAAGTTAGTTCCACCCTGACGGCATAACAAACTCCCCGCTTTCAGAATTCCCCCTCAAAGCTATATTTTTCTCTCTCTTCCTTTCCCCAAAGCTACTCTTTCCATGCTGCCTGCACTTTGGGCTGCATTATTCACCCTCTCAATGCGAGATACTGAAGCAACACATTCAAGCTTGTCAAATGTTATTATTCAGTGAAGAAGACCTAATTTTTTTAATCTGCTGATTCCCAGAAAAAGAATACACATTTTGTATCAAGCCTTTTTTTAAAAAATGCCCAATCATTTCCTTTTGCTCTTATGGAGTTATGTTCTCGACCTCTACTCAAAGTCAACAAGTGTAATTCGCCAGCTCAAACGAATATGAACCTTTTCGCCCGCCCATAACTATGCTGAAATCAAACAAACGTTGTCAACAGGATGACTGGGTAAAACTAAACATTTTTTTTACTGAATTTATAGCCGTGCCGCTCCCTTGATCACAAAAGATTGTCAACTGTTCTTGCAAAATATGCCTTTTATCTGTTTCACATTCAACCTTTTTCTTTCGGGTTTTTTTGTTGTTGTTTTGTTGGGGTTACCCCAAACAGTTGCCCACAAGCATTCTTTTGGAGCAACAGTGACCAGAAAAATGTTAACTCAATAAATCCCTTATTGCAACTTTGCAAAAAGTCAGGCATCTCCTCTCACCGTTACATCTGTTTCTGGACATCTGGCAAAAAATTGAAGAAGCATTCTTACCTTCCTCAGCCAATACGCAGAGAGACAAGCTCCCTATTAGGAAGACGAGAAGCTGAATTTTCATAGACATCTTTGATTGTTGTCGCCTGCTTTTTGCAGGGAGAGGAGCCCCCGGTCTTGAGCAATCCAGCTGTGCCAGATGCTTTCTTGGTTCCCAAAAGTTTGCTTCGGCTTTCCAGCCCTCCTTTTCCTGCTGATGTTGAAAGCCCGGCAGCCTCCCTTTCTCAGGAGCATTGGCACAGTGATAGAAAAGTAACTGAGAAGAGACTCAGCATTTTTTCTCTCTCTTTTAATTGAAGGCTGGGTGGGCATGCGAAGTGGCCCTGCAAGGAAGACCCGCCCTCTCCACGCTGTTTGGCCATCCATAAAAATATGATCTCAGGTTTAAAGTTACAGGATGTTTTAGAAGATGCCAGAGACAGTTATATATAGTGAAGTGTGGAGGAGGGATTAAGCAAAAGGAGGTGAAAATAAAACACTCTTCTTATGTTGGAAAAAACACAGCAGGATTTATTGTAATTCTGGTATTTTTAGCAGACAGAACTGGCGGTTGATTTATTTCGTTATTTATTTTCTGTTCCTCAATAGATTCTGGATGGAGAAAAATGAGGGTGGTGGAGTGGACAGCTGAGTCAATGAGGCTGGTCACAAGAGATTAATTTCTGTGCCTAAACCACAGAAGAATGGGCCCCAGCAGTGCACTGGACTTGCAAAAATTTTGGGTTATTATTTTTTTTTAAAAAAAGTCATTTTCTTATGATGCAGAATTTCAGTTTCAGATGCAGCTTGGGGCTTTATAATGAAATAAGATAAAGGGGATAATGAAAAATCCCAAAATTTTTTTTGGGGGGGCAATATTGGATCACCAACTTGTCAATGTATATATTATATGTGAAGCTTCTTCTCCATCCAGCCCCTATGAGATGCTGATGGGGAGCTTACTTGTGTATCTCCATCAATTAGCAGTTGCCAGCATGTCCCCCCCCCCAGGCTGGGGGTCTTCAGCTGGGGGTCTGGCCTCTTGCTTCCTGTAGAAAGTGAAACTCACACCCCTCCAACCCAAAAGGCCTCCGTTCCTAAAGGTTTATGTTTCCTCCTTTACTTTTCATGCGGAAACTCTCTGAAGCAAGCAGGCAGGCAGTTAACAGGCTGGATTACATCTAAGAAAGAACGAAACCTCATGACATCTGAAAAGAAAAGTATGACAACAGATTCAAAGCAAAAATAATGCAAGGTAGACAAATCACAGAGACGTGTTTCTGGACCCTGCGGACATGACCAACCCAGCCAAAGAGAATTAAAATCACCGACACGGAACTAGCGCATTCTGGCTCTCGTCATACCAGCGATCTGCCTGTTTCTCATCTTGGTTATTTTGTCCTGGGATCAACTTTTTTCTGACAGCCAGGCGGAGGGAGAAGAACCGAGAAAGCAAAGAGAAGCTTTCTGTGGTACTCTAAACAATCTCTCAGCGACCGTCTAAGGAAATGAAAGACAGCACATTAATGGCAGAAAGCAGCTGTGACTTGAAACGACTCGTGATGAAGCTGGAGTTGCAAAAGAAGGAAACCGCGGTTGATCGTTAAGCAGGCGAAAACCATCATCACAGAAAGATTACTCAACATTAATGTTGGCCATTGCACAGGTAGTTTTTGTATCTCAGTTTGACATCAGTCCAATTTGAGAGGACAGCCAAGAAATCAGAAGAAGACTAGGAGTCAGAAGGGCAGCATGGAAGGAACTGAAAAAAAGCTAATTGGTGGTAAAGATGTGTAACTGGAGACGAAGGCCGAGACCATCCACGCTGTTGCATTCCTGGTTACTGTGTACTGATGTGAAAGCTGGACAGTGAAGAAAGGAGGCAGGGGGAAAAACTGATTAATTTGAAATATGGAGCTCGAGAAGGGCTTTGTGGAAACCCGGGACCATCAGAAAGATGAATAAGTGGAGTTGAATACCAATGTCGGATGAGACAGTCACTAATAATTTCCAGACGAGTGCCATGTTAAGGTTGGACGAGACATTAAGGGAAATGTGTTTGTCCACCAACTAAAAGATTTCCTCAGAAGCTTCAGAATTGCAAATGAAGCCCATGTTGACCTTCTCATGGCCAATCTAAACAACAACAACAACAACAACCCCTACAACAACAGGCAAGCTTTTCTGTTAATGACTTGTGAGATTAGAGAATTTTTTTTTAAAAAAGTGGATTGTTGCTCTCTGTTGTTTTAAATGTTCTTTTAGTATTGGGTTTTTTTTACTATGTTTAATGTAATCCTTGTTTAATTCTTTTTTAATACTTGTGTGTTTACTGATTTTAGCTTTTAAATATTGTCTTTTCAATGATGTAAGCCACCTTGGGTCTTTTTTAAGGAGAAAGGCAGGGCGAAATATTTTAAATAAATAAACCAATAACGGACAACATTATTGCAGCCATTTGTGAGCACAAGCCCACGTGTCAAGGCAGGTAACTTTCATTATTTCGAGGAGCACATCTGTAGAATGTAGAATACGAAGCATCTTGTTGCCTCATAAAGACTGAGGTACAAATCCAGCTGTTAATCCCAGCAACGGGCAACAGGGAAGACCTTCCTTTTCAGACCGTATTTGACAATTAACGAGGCAGTGAAACATTTTCATTTTGACCACTGGGCACTATTGTCATTTTATGGGCATTTTAATTTTATGTGCATTTTGTCAAGATGTTTTCAACTGTTGTTAACTCTTTTTTCCTCCGATGCTATTCTATGTTTCTTACGATAGTCTGTTCCTTGTGGACTGTGTCGGACACGATCAACGGCTGGACTCAGCACCACCCAGAAAATGGCGTGCACTCTCAGCACCAGCCACGGGAAATCATCACATCAACCACAGGTGACCAGAAGATGAAGGAAAACTTTTCCTTATGCTCACCAGGTAAAAACATTCACCTCACTTCTAATTCGGTACAGTGGGCTCCTTCCATGTCCAAAGGCATTACGATTGGGGACTAGATAAAAGGCAGAATGGAACAGAACAGGCCAGAATGGGGATGCCTTCATAAAAATTGATGCCAGGAATGGTGGGATGTGATGGAGACACATCGGAGCAACACTTTTAGACCTCGAATCCAGTGGATGTTACTTTTTCATTAACCTTTCATTTTCTCCCTCAAGCTTGCCAGAACGGAACACAGTGGCCCAGAACGGTTGTCTACAAGCAGGATACTCTAACCAAAGTTTGATGCCCGCTCGTGGAAGTGGGGCCGAGAAGTGCGGACGAAAGTTCACGTGAAAAATGAACCAGCACAGACGGCCAAACCAGCAGTCTAGCGTACAGCCCCAATCTGTTGTTCTGTGCGTGGACTGTGGTTCTTGTGGAAGGCCGGTGGTTTGATGCATTACTCCCATCCAGTCCTAAGTGACTGGTGAACACACTGTCACCAGCTCAGAAGCTGATGCCGCGATTGTTGTATTTTTCGGAAATACGAAACTTAAGACTGGAACGTGGTTTCTGGAGCTCTCTTGTGGCTGGTTGTATCCTTCTCCTTCACTGCAACGGGAAGGGTGGATTTAAACAAGCTCTCCTGCCCGGAAATGACCAATATGGGTGTGTTTCAATAGTTTTGGTTTCCTCTGTATAATGGGTACTGGAATGAGATTCTCGGTGCATCGTGACATCATTCCCTTTTATCCATTGCAACACACGAACATCACTGTTCCAAACTATTTTGTGCAATACATCTTTTCCTGCCTGGAACAGGCATCGATTTTCTGCTGAGAATGGGGACCGCAGACGGTTTGTGGCTTGCTGCTTCCGTTTCCTCTAGTCACATACATGTCGTGATTTTGGTGGGCTTATCCTACTTGGAAGCTGCCATTCAGGGCCAATGTGTTCAGTTTCAGTAGGTTTCAGGGCCCCAATAAAGGGTTAGTGGAAGAGTAATATTCATTGAGTTTGATATCTACAATATCTGAAATTTGCCCACCACGTCCCAGAAATTAGAAGCCCAACCTATGTCTTCCAGGCAAGAAGGGGGAAGTAACGGGACACATTTCTGCTCTATTAACAGTGTTTGACCATTTTTAACTGGCTTTCAACTGACGGATAGAAAACGAGATTTCTCGCAGGATTGCTGGGCGAAAGTTTTGACGCCTTTGTATGTGTCTTGTGTAGCAAACTGCTGCGTTTCCATGAGTGTTTGCATTGTCTGAGGGAAGAGGGCATAGACCAAAAAGGCTACCAGGAGACCTCAATTGAAAGTGGCTCAAACTGGGAAAGGCACAAAAGCCACACACTGCACAATCACAAAGTTGCTGGGGCTGTGGGAAGATGGATCACGTGGCCAAGGATTGCCCATTTTCAAAAGATTCCTCAACCCATAGAAGCTGTGCTGGCTTTAAATCAAAAGAATTGCAGAAAATATGTAAAGCCTGATTATGTAAAGAGAGACAAAATGAAAAGTTGGAAAAAAAGGTTTAAGCCAATGTTTAAATAGAAGGGCCATGCCTGGACCTTTTAGCAGCTTTTCGTCACCCTCTGAGGTGCCTTTCTGGGATGAGTCTTGGAGGTGCTGTTTTAGGGTGGTTCTGATTCTCCTTGGAGGGCTGAACTCAGAAAGTGGTGTTGAGGGAATCCTGTTCGACACCTTGGTCTGGGGTGTCCCCCGGGGATCAAGTCCTGCCCCCCCCATGTTATTCAACATCTACATGAAACCGACGGAAAGGTTGTCCAGAGTTTGGATTTTGGTGCCGTTTTTATAGTACTTTGCTCCGATTAAGTAATATTTTTTTAAATTCATAGGGAATTTTTAATAAACCTATGTACAGTAGGTATTTTCCAAACCACATTTCCCTCTTAGTCCTTTTTTTTAATTATTTAAACACATCATCTCCTTTCCCCCTCATCCTTGATCTATGACAGCCAGTCAGCTCTAGCTGTTTGCAGTTTTACTAGGAAAAGATCTCTTACCAAACGTAACGGTTGTTGGCAGCCCTTTCAAACGTAAGTGAACCCAGGATGTTTTGCGCATCTCACAACATACTTTGGATCCAGAAGTTCATGTGTGCAGATGCATTCAATGGTGGCAGGGAAATTTTGAAAGCTTCATGGCGCGGTGGTTAAACTGCTGGACTGCAGCCAAGACTCTGCTCACGACCGGAGGTTCAATCCCAGGTAGCTGGCTCAAGGTTCACTCAGCCTTCTATCCTTCCAAGGTCAGTAAAATCAGTACCCAGCTTGCTGGGGGTTGTGGTGGCAACGTGCAGCCTGCATCATTCACTTGTAAACCACCCAGAAAGTGCTTTAAGCACGATGGGGTGGTATATAAGCAGCATGCTTTGATTTGCTTTGGGAAAGGGG